AATTTATAAACTATCAAGGGCTCTTGAGGGAGGGGGGAGCCGGAAGGGCGGGGGAAAATGAGGACCTAATGTCGGGGGCTTAAGTGGAGAGAAAATGTTTTGAGAATGATGAGGGCGATGAATGTACAAATGCGTGTTACACAATTGATGTGTGTATAGGTTGTGCTAAGAGTTGTATGAGCCCCTAATAAAAATGATTTTAAAAAATAAATAAATAGACATTGGTCAAGATGTGGAGAATTTGAATCCTCATACCATGTTGGTGGAAATGCAAAAAAAAAGTGCAACCATGTTTGACACTAGCTGGACAGTTTCTCAAATGGATAAAAGTAGAGTTAAGATACCACCATACAATTGCACTCCTAAGTATAGATCCTAAGTATGTATTTCGCCTCCTAAGCATATATCCAGCGGCGGCCTGGTGGCATAGTGGTTACATGTTGTGCTGAGATTTGCATGGTCAGCACTTTGAGACCACCAGCAGCTCCGCAGAAAGAATGGACTTTCTACTCCTGTGAACAGCAGAGTCTCAGAAACTCACAGGAGGTCGCTGTGAGTTAGCATCGATGTGATGGCAGTGTGTTTGGTAGGTATAGATCCAGGAGACATAAAAACACAAAGACTTGTTCAAGTGTATTCCTAACAGCATAATCTCCAATAGACAAAATGTAGAGAACCATCCACAAGTCCATCAACTGGTGAATTCACTGCCATCAAGCCAATTCTGACACATGGCAATCCTATAGCAAGGGCGGAACCGCTCCTGTGGGTTTCTGAGACTGTAACGTGTTAGGGGGATAGAAAGCCTCATCTTCTCCCCATGAAGTGGTTTCAAACTGTTGACCTCACAGGTGGCAGCCCAACACTGAACTATGATGTCACCGGGACACTCCAACTGGTGAACAGATAAAACGCGGTACATCTATACAATGAAATCCCATCGAGCAATAAGAAATAAGGACATTGTTATATGTGCTTCAATCTGGAAGAACCCCCAAAACACTGCTGCTTAAAAGAAATCAAACGTGAAAAGGCCATATATGGTATGCTTTGATGTGTATGGAAAATCCAGACAGACAGACAGAAAGTAGGGTGACTGTAGAAATGGAAAATGGCTCTAATTGGGTGTGAGGTTTCTTTGAGAAGGGGTAGAAATGTTCTAACTTTAGCTTGTAAGAATGGCTATAAAGCCCTGTAAACACACTTAACAATTCACTGAGTGGTATAGTAAAATGGATGAATTTTACGGTATGCAATTAGATCTAAATTTTGTGGGATGTAAATTATGCCTCAATAAAGCTGTGCCTAACCCAAGGGCCACACCTGAAGGACTTGCCATGGGAGCCTGTTAGTCTGGATACTTTAGAAAAACAAATCCACAGAACTCATGAATAAGAGAGAGTTTTATATAAAGGGTAAGTGCACATCAAGTAAAATCCCAACCCAGTGCTGCCCAAGCCCACAAGGCCAACAGTAACCCATATGTCCAACACCAATCCACAACGTCCTCCTCCATCTCACAAAACAGACACAATGATGCCGACTGCAGGAGGAAAACCAAGTCAATGAATGTGTGAGCATCTCAGTGCTGGCAGGGGTCTCCACATGGCTGCTCCAGCACCCAAGGCTGCATTGGGGTAGATCCATGTGGCTTCTCCTCCGGGATGTCTTGCAGGAAGTCAGCCTTGCAAGCTGAAGCAGGGAACTGGCTAAGGCAGCTGCACCCTGGGGTGACCACCACAAAGCAAGAGACCCGAGAACTAGAAAGGTGAGGCTCACTGAGCCATTTATCCCCGCCCCCCTTCAATTAATCCCACATGTGTTTATCGGCCAGGTTGGCACAATAAACTAACTAACTCAGAGTCCGACTGAATATACCGGGCCCTACCCCAAAACTACTTGTAACCCTTGGACTTAGGGCTGATGGAAGGGAAAGCAAATACTGGCCACCTCAAGACTATGGATATGGCCATCACTGGACTGTGGGTGACACCCTTGCATCCAATAAAAGGGGACCCAGAACCACCATATATTTAGTATCTCTATGCTCCCCTGGCCTTGATATGACAGGTATTAATCTGCCCTTGTAAGGAATGTTACAGGAAATTTCCCCCTAGCACCAACCACCTTGCTCAATGTACACAGCTCAATAATTTAAGAACTCAGTCTGTACAAAGCAACAACTCATGGATTGCAGTTCACAGCTGGACTGAACTTGTATAAACCCCTCATCTCAACAGGACCTTAAATTCTATGTCATTGGATAAATTATTGATGTTATCAATACAATAGCCGTATGCCCCAGGGGGGTGATTGATAATACTTTTCTTTTATTGTTTTGTTGTTGTTGCTTGTTTGTTTGTAGTCATAAAATAATAAGACCACTAAAGTAAACCAGAGTCCTTCATAACCCGGGACAAGCAGATGAATTCTGAGATCCCACATAATTCTAGCCCCAATCTAAGAACTGTTCATTTTATAACATAACCCTGCTCTATACTAGCCTTTATAAAGAGAGCACTGAAGATAAGGGTGCTAGCTCAAGTGTGGTAAAGAAAGCAGATAGTGCTTGGCTATCAATTGGGGTGTCTGGGGTTTTAAATGAACAGCCATTGAAGTGAGGCATCAACTCAGCCCACATGGAAGAAGCACACCAGGCTGTGTGATCCAAAGATGAGAAAAACAAAATCTAAACAAGAGGAAGGGAAGAGTACCAGGGCTTTAAGTGTGAACCCCCAATTTGTAGACGGCTATGGAGGACAGTGGGAGCCCCACATCCATCTGCAGGGTGTCGCATCTGGTGAAGCCTCTGGCAGGTCTCGAACAGCTCCCTGTACTCTCCAACAGAGATTACTGTACACTTGGTAATGGTGAACCAAACTGCAGTATGGTATGACTCTTGGTCAGCTGATCTCTCTTGACCCATCCTGAATTTGCTCTCGGCTCAAATATTTCTCACTTGTTCCACGACAGATTTCTTCCTTGCCTTTTTACTATTGCTAGTCGTCTTTCTTACTCTTTATTTTTATATTATTCTTATTTATTTCTGTTTCCTTTTTTATTATTGTTTCTGTTAGTTTTCCCCAGTGTATGAAGCACTGAAGGAGTGGATGCATAGAGTATAATGGGATGGGGGTGGGGTTGAGGGGAATTGGGGGGAAAATAGTGAATGTGGGAGGGGGAAGGAGCTCTAGAACTGATTGTGAGGATGTATATACACTCTTTTTCTAAAAAGTAACTTAACCATGGAAGTGCATGATATGTGAATTTTATACCAATAAAACTGTTATCTATAAAATTTATATTAAAAACTGTGCCTGACATGTAAACACTCATTAACTTGTGATGAGGAGTTACACTTTCTAGCAAAGCTTTCTAGTCCCTAAAATGGGAACGCAAAAACATCTGCTGATTTTGTCAGTCAACAGTCTAAGCTCTCTATTTCTAGCCCGGCTGTAGAAGACATCTGTATTTGCATAAAAACAACACTTGTTCATCTTATATTAGTAACAAAAACCAGAACCAAACCAAGCCCATGGCCATTGAGTCAATTCCGACTCCTGGCGACGCCGTGTGCTGCGGGGTAGGACTGAGCTGTCTCTGCTGTGATCTTGATGGAGACAGATTGCTGGGTCTTTCATTCAAGGCACCTCTGGGTGGGTTTGAACTGCCAACCTAGGAGGTTACCAATCTAAAAGTGCAAATCGCTTGCACCACCCAGGGACCTTTATACCAGCAGATAACTCCCATTGGTGAGGTCTAAACAGAGGCCATCCAGGTGTCACGGAGGAGGCAACGTTAGCTCTGCCTGGGGCATGGGAGGGCCAAAAATTGCATAGAGCACAGGGCAGGACATCTCAGATGGACCCCCAAGATCAGGAGGGGTTTCTAGGCAGACAAGGAACTGGAGGAAAAGCCTTCATTAGGGGAGGCCGGTCTGTTCTGGGTACAGTGATCAATCACATAAGGATTCCAGTCAGAGCCGGACAAACCACTGAAGTGACATTTTCTGTGTTTTTTCAACCAAAGACTCTTCAGGTCAGAATTGCTCTGCTCAGGTCTATCAGTTCTCCCTCACCTCACATGCACAGCTGGAGGAAAATGAGCCTTTCTACTCCCTGGAAGAGTTAGAGTTGCGGAAACCCACAGGAGAAGTTCTACTCTGTTCTACAGGGTTGCCATGAGTCAGTATTGACTCAATCGCAGTGAATTTCTCCCTCCCTCTACACACACACACACACACACACACACACACGCACGCACACTTTTTCATTGTATTAAATATACAGATACCATTTGTCATTTCAATATTTTCACACGATCAGCTCAGTGATATCAATCACCTTCATCATTTTGTGCAATTGCCATCATTATCCATCTCGTTCCCAAGTTTTTCCATCCCCCTTAACAGAACCTCCGTGCCCCTAAACAATGACTCTCCCTTTGGCTTTCCCTCCCACCAACTAAACCCTAATAAGCACATTCTCTTCATTCTTCTTTTAGACACCCGAACTACAACTTCAGTCCTCAAGCACATAAAGATAGTAATTTAGACTGACCTTAGCAGACAGATGACTAATCACTCCCACAGGTTAACTGCAGGCGGGGCATAGAGTTCCCACCCTGTGAAAACTCAACATGTGAATCAAAATGGAAAAATAACAAGAAAATATTTTTTATTAAATAACAGAACACCACTCTTGGGTCAATTACTTTATGAAGAAGGCTTCAAAAAGTTGTAGGAAAATGGAATCATAAAAGACTAGAGCTTCTGCATGAACATTTTTGACACCTTCTCATCTTGAAACTCCACGAAAGGACGAGGCCAGGAAGACTCTGGATCCTGGGTGCCATCCCTTAGTTCACGGTCCCACGTTTGCAGGGGGCGGGGGCGGGTGGAGCCGGAAGTTGGGACGCCTTCTGTGGGAGAGGAAAGCAGCCAAGAAGGGTTGTCTGAGGAAGTGCCATTGTAACTGGATCTTGCAGAGAACTGAGGACACGAGAGTGCAGTAAAGACAGAGCATTCCAGGACAAGGAGCACGGGGCCATCAGGGAGGGCGGGGGCCATCAGCCTTCAGATCAACGACCAAAAGTGACAGAAGAACTAGTCACGCAATGCTGCTTCCTGATAAAAGCGAGACAGGCCAGTCACTTAATGACTACAGCTGCGGGAACGCCGGATTTCTAGCAAAAAGAAAAGAAATCACACTCTATGGCCTCGAAACCAAGCATTTTGAGGTCGTTATTGTACATAAGTTTTTTGGGGACCAGTAACACTAAAACCACAAAAAATCAACATTAAAAATAAAATTTAAAAAATTAAAAACCACCATTTTAGGAAGCACATCTGCTCCTCTGTCACATTGAACAAGCATCACAATGTTCCAGGAACGACTCGGAGCCCCTCTAATCCTCCCAACTGCCTGTAAGGAGATACGTCTGTCCCCTGTGCATATTGGAAGAATCCAGCTTAGAGACATTATTCATCTCACCCAACCAAAGTTACACAAACTGTAGGTAGTAGACCCTGACTTGGCTAAGGCCCCGCTCTGTTGGCTTCTAAATCTCAGCTCCATTGGGAGCTGCCCTTTACATCCCTTTCAGGCTGCAGCGTAAAAGAGCCTCAGATCACTTGTTGCGCTGAAGTTAAAAAACACATTCCGATCCATCACCGCGGATGCTAGCTTTTATTTGTTGTTTTTTTCCCCCTCAGTCTACTTTCCGCTTCCTCAGTATGAAATTAAGGTAGAAGTATTATCTTCCATTTTTCAAAAAGGGAATGGGTGGTTAGCGGGGCAACTGAATATTAAAACAGGATCACACTGCAGGTATTGTTCCAAGGAGACAGAAGGTGAGGTCATAATGAACTAAGCCACTGTCAAGTGCTGTCGAGCTGGCCTGACCCGTGGAGTCCCTATAGAGAGAGAGACGGTGTGTCGCCTGGTCCTGTGCCATCTCCACGATATGGCTGTGCTGAGCCCTTGGTTGGAACCACTGTGTTAGTCCATTGTGCTTTGAGTGACTTCCAACGGGAGGGGCTCAACTTCCGACAAGAGGCTGGACAGTGTTCTGCTGTGATCCGTGAGCTTTCCATCCGCTAATGTGCCGATACGGAACGCCAGGCCTTTCTGTTCCAGCCTAGAAGCTCTGCTGACTCCTGTTCGGTGACCCTGCTGCTATTTGAGATACCACAAACATAGCTTCCAGCAATGATAACAACACACAAGCCACCGCAGGGCCACAAACTGCCAGCCAGGTGTTGGATAAACAAAGCAAACCTGTTCCTATACATCCTCATCATTATGCAAATCATTTTTATGGCAATCTTTATTGCCATGTAAAATGTTATGAATCGATACACTGTACTGCACGTTAAGGAAATTTCTGCCTTAAAGAGATTAAAATGTTTTTTAAAAACCTCAGTAAAATGCTTTACCTTTGGTCATGCCAAGTTACTTTATAATTCCACCATCTAAACCTGTTACTCTGTAACTTAAACACAACTGCCTCCTACCTTTTCAAAACAACAAACTGCCTGCCATGAAGTTGATTCTGACTCAGAGCGACCTGTGAGACAGAATAAAACTGCTCCCCAGGGTTTGGAAGACTAAATCTTTCTGGGAACAGGCAGTCTCATATTTCTCCCACAGAGTGAGTGACGTATGGGTTTGAACCACTGACCTTGTGGTTTATAGCCCAGCACTTAATCCACCAGGACTCCTTAAACATAGCTGTTGTTAGGGTTGTGGGGTCCATTCTAAGGCATAGTGACCCTTTGTACAACTGAAAGAAACACTGCGCAGCCCCGTGGCAAGCTCATAAAGGCTGTTATGTTTGAACCCATTGTTGCAGCCACTGTGTCCACTCATCCTCTCCCTTACCAAGCAGGATGTCCTGGATCTCCAGAGATCGATCTCTTCTGATCTCTCCTCAAACATGGAAAATACTAAGTATCTCACTGCCAAACTCCCTGCCATCGAGTCAGTGTGGACTCACAGATGGTAACTGTGCACGGAGCGGAAAGCCCCGTCTCTCTCCTGAGGACGTGCTGGTGGTTTTCAAACTGCCGACCCCGAGTAGGTCGCAGCCCAACGTGGAAATCAGGGTTTCATCCCAAGCAGGCAGGTATGAATTTTCCTCCGAGCATAAAGAGCCAGGAAAGAACAGTCCAGTTTACTTGCAGAAGGAGCAGGAAGTGCTGGAAGGGATTCAACCCAGAGAGCAAACCCAGGGACCCACCAGGAGAAAAGACAGTGTCTATCTAGCGCAGGGACGCTCCCTCTCAGGCTACACCCGTCATCGTCCACTTTCTCCTAGAGAAGCTACCAAACAAATGTCACCTTTTCTTCACCATCTTCTCAGATAAAAGGTGGAAACTGGCTGGCCACTTAACACCTTCCTCACTGACTACGTCCCAACTCACCAATTAATTTTTTCTTCATAGGAGTTGACAAAAGTGAGTTATTTCTAACAGACTTCAAAACAGAGATGATTCGAGCTGAAAACTTTTTCTCCCCTACAACTTTGCCCCTAGACCCAGTGAGGGATGCTTGTAGAGCTTCTATAAGCATGACACCTTTTGGAACCCTAAAAGTCAACACACACACACCCTCCCCAGACACCCTAAAAGTCAACACACACACCCTCCCCAGACACCCTAAAAGTAAACACACACACCCTCCCCAGACACCCTAAAAGTCAACACACACACACAC